GAGCATCGATGATTAAATACTACTTTGGCGAAAACTCAAATCAGATCAAAGTTTTTCTGTAATAGAGTTTGCTCAGGTTTTAATAACCTTTTACGGGCAAATATTTTTCCGCAGAAATATGTAACCTTTAAGAAACGTATTGATGTGTTTGTTTAATTTTTTGTCTCTAGCTTCATCAGAAATTGTAGTTCTCCTAATTTCTACTCACATGTTCTTCAACATGTCTACAGAATAAATAAATAAATCTGAAGAAACTTCTCCTTAGCTAAGATAAAATACAGTTATCGACATCAAATATCAATATCAATATCCATGCTAGCCTAGATTCAGAGGTTCAAAGCAAAATCAACTTATTGAATATAAAAATTGGAGGAAAGAAAATTAGCGACCCAATTCAGCAGAAAACTTGCGGTATTTTCTCCGAGAGAGAACAAAACATATCACCTGCACTGGAGTAGGCTTAACGATGCGCATCGTATTTAGCTGCTGGATAAGCCAGGACCTCAATCCCAACTCCGAAAATGACTTCGTTGACGATGAATGATCGATCTGAAAACTTATTTCACTGAGAAAGTGAACGGCTGTGGTTACAGCAAAACAACAGGTATAGTGTAGTTCGCTGCGGACGGTTGGGCGTGTCAGGCGGGATGAGTTTGGCGCGGTGCCAAACCCGTTCTCCACCAGTTGTTAAAGCGAGCAAATGATATGACTGTATCATATCGTTCGTATTACTCGTTTTCTACCACTTTTTGTCGCATGCGCGCTTCAACAAGAAGGCAGAGAACGGCTTTGACGGCGTGACACACTCATACTGCCTGACACGCCCAACCGTCCGCAGCGAACTAGAGTGTAAAACCACTAGTAGGAGTTCTATGTGGGGAATGTGAACTCATAGAATATGGGCAATACGTATTAACGTACGGGAGTTGCGGATTGACGCAGCTGGTTCAGTTCCTCTCCTTCTTCTAACTCATCTTCGCTTGAACTGCCTTCTTCTTCTTCCGAAGACTCCTGAACATTTATAGCTTCAGTAATCGACTGATCAAGGATTCCTGATTCCGCTGTGTACCCTGCAAGAAGGACTCCTGTTACAGAATATGACAAAACCGAAACCTACGAGGGCTCCCAGCTTTGAAATTCGGAGATAACTGCGCCTCGCCCGGTGAGAACTCCTTTTTCGATAGTATATTTCTAAAACTTGCGGAGCGCATATGTCTGCCTTATTCTGCATGGGGTCATGACTTACGCTTTATGGTTACGTGACATCGAACTTTTGTGCATGGTACTGTTGGGAAACCACGTAACGCAAACAGGTAGAGCACAGCTGCTATCAAAGCATCGAAACGTACAAGAAAGCTCTTGCGGGCCAGGATATGGGCTTTTTCGAAGGGGTGGGTAAGCCTCATCATTTGTGGAAAAATGCTATTCATGAGGTTACAATGACCACAGAATGCCACAGAAGCGAGAGAAAGCAGAAAACAGAAGATCGATGCGAAGGGTACTATTTCTGGCTTGACAAAGAAATGGAAATAAGAACAAACACGAGAATACCTTCGTTCCTGAGTCTGCCTTTGATGTCGCTTCAAGCACATCATCATTCTGTTCGTCTTCCTCATCTGATGAAAGCATAGCATCGCAAACTGAAGTCATCTAGAAAAAGGGTTACCCATGCGCCTACAGCAATCGTAAATTCAACAAAGTATAAGGAAGGCAGCGCGGAATACGCGTGAAATCACCGAAAACAGTAAAGCAAGTACATTTATTAAAATTTCAAACAAGTAAAAAAGGCATTATAACGAAGCAGATGAACAAGATAAGAGCATTTTAAATCAACGGGTTGAGATCAGTGTTATTCCTGCTTCCGCTGGGCTTGCAATGATTGAAGTTGCTTTTCCCTGATTTCCTGGGTTTCCTTTTCGGTGAGGAATCGAATGTTGTACTTTTCTTTATGGGCATTTAACTCATTGCCTTTCTCAACAAGCCTTTTGTTGAGTTCACCAGAAACAACTCCAAGCTGAAATATGAGTACACATGAATACAGAACGAAAAAGGATGAGACAGCAAGGCGCTATAGCATGGTTGGGATGAAGGCACTCGGCCGCGCCCCTCTTTAACTTCCCCTAACCAAGGCTCAGGTAGAGCGGAGACGACCAGAGTTCACGAGTGATAGTCTTGCAGGGAAGACGTAACCTTCCGCAACACCAAAATTTGTTAGAGGAAGGAAAACAAAAGCGCTGCCGACTGGTTCTGCCCTTGACTATGACGATGCCAGCAACAAAACACTGGAGAGTAACTCACATTTGTGAAGTTTTTCTCTAGCTCAGGAATCACCTCCTTGACCGTGTATTCAACGAGAGTATCACTTATCAAACGAAAACATTTCTGTCCACCGTCGAGCTCCTTCAACAGCTCTATAACTCTCCTTAAACAAAAATGATGGCGAAATGATGAAGCTGATCGAACACACACTGTTACGGTCATTAGCCTTTTTTCCGGAGTATAAGCCGCATTGACTTCCAACACTTCCGAGACGCACGAGAAGAGCCAGCGTTCAAACTTCGCGATGACGGCATCATCGTGAAGTGTGAACGCTGCCTAATGTTTGAGAAAGGTTTTGTTTTCGCATGCACAGCCCTCATTGATTTTCAAACATATGCTATTCAATATTAAAAGCCTTGATGCCAAATGATTGAAATTAATCCACGGCAGCAAACTAGTGATAGATGTGGCAGCAGAACTCGTGTAGGGGCCACTGAAGAACCATTGTCTACGCGCGGCACTGCCCTGATAGCGGAAAGCG